CCTGGGGCCCCTTCATTGGTGGGGGTGAGCCCCCCAGCGCCATTCGCCTCGGGTCTGCCGGGCGTCCTTCGGCGGGGATTGCCTCCGTTCCGAGTCCGACTTTTCGTTCCTGCAAACAGGGGGACATCCATCGAAGGCGCGTGCGGCGAGACGCCGCGGCCCCGCCTCCTCCTCCTCCTCCTCCTCCTCCTCCCTCCTCCTCCTCCTCCTCTCCTCCTCCTCCTTCTCCTCCTCCTCCTACTCCTCCTCCTCCTCCTCCCCCTCCTCCTCCTCCTCCTCCCCCCTCCTCCTCCTCGTCCTCCTCCTCCTCCTGCCTTCTGGAAGCGCCCTGCCATCCTTTTACGACCATGTATTCTCCCCAGCCATCATGGAAATCCCTTGGGGGAGCAGCTCAGGCGAAAACAAAAACATGAGGAGAACGATAGAGGACAGCAGGACAGCAGTTGGATGAGGAGGCTGAGGAGGAGAAATAATTTTCTGCCCCTTGGGGGTTCTTGCGGCCTCCAACGGGCCTCTTGGGGGTTTCTGATGGCCTCTTGGGGCTTCCCTGGGGCCGTTGCCGCGGGCCTCTGAAGGTTTTCTTCTTTTGTTTGTCTTCGGCGGCCCTCCTGGGGGCTCCTCTGGGCAGTCGTGGGGCCTTCTTCGGGCGCGTCAGGGCCGTCTTGGAGGTTTGTGGCTGTCTTGGGGCCCTTGGGAGGCCGTCTTGGAGGGGTTCGGGGTCGTATTGGTGTCTTTTTGCTCGTCTTGGGTGGGCCCTTCCGGGGGTGCGGGCCCGTGTGGTGGATAGATTGGAGCCATGAGGGCAGTCTTCGGATGTCAAAAAGAACGACATGGCAAGAACGTGGAACCACTCGATACGCTTCAACAGGGATCAGTGACCTTGGCCTCCAGGAGGTCCTTTTGGAGCTCTCTTGAGGCGTCGTGGGGGCTTCACGGGCCGTCCGGGGGGCAAATGCGCAGCCGTCGGGGAATTCACCGCGGGTGGACGGGGCCGCCTTCGGCTATTTGTCGCCTCTGGCCGCTTCCAGACATTCCGCCTCCATGCCAGCACAGCACTCTGGAGGGCAATTGCTCGAAAAGGTGTGTGGGCCTGCTGGGGGCGCCTTGGGGCAGAAGGCTCGAATTCTTGATTCGTGATCGATCTTTTTACCATGCGAACGAGGAGAGGAGAGGAGAGGAGAGGAGGAGGAGGAGGAGGAGGAGGAGGAGGAGGAGGAGGGAGGAGGGAGGGAGGAGGAGGAGGAGGAGGCAGGAGGGAGGAGGAGGGAGGAAGGAGGAGGAGGAGGAGGAGGAGGAGGAGGAGGAGTGATTCCACTCTTGGGCCCTTCTTGGGGACGCCTAGGGGTCGCCTCGGGCAGTCTCGGGCCCCCTCACGGCGAGCGAAAACCGGGGCCGCTTGCCAGGCTTCGCCAGGGGCTGCCGCCCAGGCGGGGCGGGGCGGGGCCAGACGGCACCCGGCCGCCAGCAGCAGGGCGCCCGAGGCAGCGGTCCAGCAGCGCCGCCGGGCTTTTCCGAACGCCTCGGCCGGGGGCAGCGATAGGGGGGGATAGGCATAGGTCAGGGGGGGATGCATCGACCCCCCATCGCCCACTGATCGCCGACAGGGGCCCCAGCGCCCCGACCTGCCCAGGAAGCTGCGGATTCCCTATCGGAGGCCTGTCGCCGATCTATCGCCGACGTGTCGCCGATTCCAGGTCGATGTTCCCCCCTATCCCTATTCCCCCCTATCGGTACCCCTCAACTGGGTTATGATGTTCCCACTTTCTTTAGCCTTGGCCGCCAGAAAGAGCTTCGAGCGCCAAGGGATCACCGCGAAGCTGAAGGGCTTTCACGTGTCGGGCCCTGCGAGGCGGTACTCGTCCGACACTTCGCTGGCGTGTCGGGTGGGCACTGTTTCGATGCTTTGCTGATGCTCGAGCTTATTTCGGGGATGTGGCCATCAATTGCGATGGGAACAACATACAGGGGGGGGGGGCCATGCCAATAAATACCATGCTCGCCTCCAGGGTGCCCTGGAGTTCTTGGGTTTCGATAGTTCTGAGATGGAAGGCGTGACATTCCCACGCCAAACATCGAGGGACGCCCTGGGGTCTTAGGGTTGGGTTTCTTGTGGAAGGTTTCTTGTGGACTGGCTCTTTCCGCTTAATCCAGCTTAATCCCGCTTAGTCCGGCTGAATTCCGCTCCAGCCGAAGCCCACCCTTGCGCAACAGCCCCCCTATGCGACTTAAGTCTCCTTAGTTTTTCCGACGAAGACCTCCCAGTAGTTGCCTCCTAAGACTGGCCTCCATTGTTTTTTCGGGATGTGGTGCTCAAGTACGATGGGAACAACATCAGCCCTGGGGCGGAGACGGTCGGGACCTCGCGTGCCGCCCAGCCGTGGGCCAAAAGCTCGGGCGTGTCGCAACAGACGTCCCAACTGACACCCTATTTGTTGTATCACCGAGCACCGAAAAGAACCCCTGACCCTCATAGCACGATGAAGACCCAGACCTCCTCGCGATGTGAAAACAAAACACGACGGCAGTTGTTTCGCTAGTTTCGGCCCCCGGGGGCCCTTCCAGGGCCTCGGGACCGTCAACAAAAAACACTCGGGATGAAATACCGGTCCCGGGGAAGGGGTCCAGACCTCTGGTTGTCGACGTTGCTCGGGGGCGGAAAAGAGGGGGGTGATGACTAGGGGGGGTGGATATCATGGCGGTGGCCGTGATATTTCCCCAGGTCTTCTGGCGCCTCTTCTTATTTCATTACGTCCCTGTCCCCCCCGCTGGGCCGCGCACATGCCGCCGGTCATGATTTGCACCCCCCCCTCTTGGACACACCCCTCTTGGCCGTTCCCGAGTTGCGATCACGACGTCGCGGGTCTTGGGGCGTGGCCTCACCGAGGTCCCCGTCTGCGCATGCAGGGTAAGGAGTCTTGGCGGTCTGCTCTGACGCATCTGCAGACGAGGCCCCCCTACCCCCCATGTTTGTTTACCCTCCCAGCTCAGGCCGCCCCCTCCCAGAAAGGCTTCGGGGCCCTTGCCTGGTCAGTCCTTGTACGTCCTCCTCTTCGGCCATCCTCCCGGAGGACTCGGATGGTGTCTCGGCCGCCATCCTGGCCGGGCTTCTCCCAGCGGCGACGTGGCCAGGCGGCGCTTCCCGGCGTGGTCGGGCGGCGCATGCGAGCACCGCTCCTCGGCCCGAGGTGGGCCGGACCAGGACCCGTGTCTGCGTGCAGTTGACGTTCCCCGTCCTCCTCGCGCTGTTAAACGAAAATCATGACGGCAGGTCTTTCCATATGTTCGGCCTCCGGGGGCCCCTCCCGGGCCTCGGGGCCGTCAAAAAACGACTCGGGATGAAGAAGCGGTCCCGGGGAAGAGGTCTAGACCTCTGGGGGTCGACGTGGTGAAAGTTATTACGAGACCTTCTGGGGACCGACGTCATTACGAGGTCGAAAAGGTGAAAAAATCGTCGACCTCTGGGGGTCGACGTGAAAAAAAACAACTCGACCTCTGGGGGTCGACGTTTTTTTTCTTTTGTTTTAACAAGTTATTATGTTGGCGGTCTAGGTTTCCCCAGGTCCCCGCCCTCCCCCCCTGGCCCCAGGAGGCAACGCTGGGGTGGAGGCATCGATCCCCAATCGCCCACTCCGCCGATGGGCGCCCGGGTGCCCCTGCTTGCCCGGGAGCGTCCAGCTTCTGCAACTGAGGGCCTGTCCAGTCATTGTTCTTTCCCCTGGTCCAGTCCCCCGTTAGCATACGATGCTTCATTAGATGGCTTCTTGGCCGATTCGTCGTCGCCCTTGGGACTGTTAGATCGTCATCGTCGACCTCTTGCCCAGCAGCGGAACTCGGGGTTATCAATCGCCCCCCATGTTTGTTTCTTCACCGTCCTCCTGCATTCTACGTTCTCATCCTTCCAACTCCTAATTACCTATCCCAAGGCCGCGCTGGTGCTCGCGCGGCTGGAGGAGGCTCGGCGGGACCCCCTCTCTGCATCATGTGCACACGATGCAACAGATGCCCCCGTGGGCTGCTGCGGTGAATCCAGCTTCCGTTAGCTGTTACAGCGACGAAAGCCGAAGTTGTTCAACGTGCAGGGCATGGAAGCGATGAGTTGTTGGAAGATTCGACAGGTTCGCGCAGCGTGGTGTGTTGATCAAGCGTAGGCTGTCTTTCTTCTGGTTGTGCCTCGAACCCGGTCGTGAAGACTATAATGTCGTATGTTGCCTGACATCAGGGTGGCGGGCCCTGGCGCCATCGCCGTTCTAACTCTTGCGTCGTGAATTGAGTTCGGTTGGTGTTGGTGTATCGGGTACGGTGGGGGCGTTCGCTGGAGAATGTGCCCAGGGGGCTGGAGGCCCTGGAGGGTTCCTTATCCGATGAGGTCGGCAGGCATGCATGTCCAATCCACGATTGGTGTTCCATCAGCTTCCGCCAATCCGTGGCCCATCCACGATTCCTTAGCCAATGATTAATTTTCTAATGCCCTCACCGTATTCAGTTGGGTTTTGTGGTGGAGTCTACGCTGGGTTTTCGCTCCTGCTTCGCCCTCCCGCTAAACAAGGAGCTCGTCGCCCCGCCCGCAAAAAAAAGCCCGCGGCCCGCGGGGCGTGGAGGTGCACACAATAATCGGGATCGGAAAAAAGGGAGGGGGTAGGAGGTGGCGGTGGAGGAGGTGGAGGAGGAGGAGTAGGAGGAGGAGGAGGAGGAGGAGAAGGAAGAGAAGAGGAGGAGGAGGAGAGGAGGAGGAGGAGGAGGATGAGGAGGAAGAGGAGGAGGAAGGAGGAGGAGGAGGAGAGGAGGAGGAGGAGGGGAAGTGAGGAGGAGGAGGAGGTGGTGGCGGTGGAGGTGGAGGAGGAGGAGGAGGAGGTGGCGGTGGAGGAGGTGGAGGAGGAGGAGGAGGAGGGAAGAGGGTGAGGGAGGAGCATGAGGTGCTGGTGGAGGAGGAGGTGGTGGCGGAGGAGGAGGAGGAGGGGGATGGGGGAGAAAGAGGGGGGGGGGATGGCGAGGGAGGCCCCTCGCCGTGCTCGGCGCCTCGCGCGCCAAGGAGCCGAGTCCAGCCGTGCGCCCGCCGCGCAGGCGCAGCAGCGGTCCTGGCGGATACTCCGAGTTTCTGAACAAGCGTCGGTGGGGCGTCTCCCCCGCCGACGGTCCCACGTCGACCCCCGTCGCGGGCAGCCTCCGTTCGCCCAAAGGCGCTCCGACCTCCGTCGCGGCGCGGCGACGCGGCGACGTTGACCCCCGTCGGAGGGGTACCCCCCACGCATATCAAGAAACCCAGGGTAGGGGTGGGTGGGCGCGGGCTGGGTTGCATGATCCACCGCGCAGTTTTCGCAGCGAGTGGTATAATGCTCCGACCTACTTTAGCCTTGTTTTGACCACCAGAGGGCATGTCGAGCACCAAGGAAGTACCGAAACTCAAGGGTTTTCACGTGTCGGGTCTTGGGAGGCGATATTCGTTTGACATTGGTTCGGCTCTTTTCTGGGTGCTCGATTTGTTATTTTGGAGGTGGCCCTTAAGTACGATGGGGGCAACATAAAGCCAGTCTCGCATTCGCGCCAACTGCGCGATCACTACATTGCTACACAGACTTTTCGGATTATGGGGCTTCCAGGCGCCTTATGTTTGCGGGCGAGAAAACGAGACACGTCTTCCATCTTTGTCAGACCCCTCCCCTCGTGGTGTGGGTCGTGGGGCGGGAGACGACAGGTCGCGGGGTGGGTCGCGAACGAGTCGGTGATGATGATGATGTTGATGATGATGATGATGATGATGATGATGACGACGCTGATGATGCTGATGCTGCTGATGCTGCTGGTGATGATGCTGATGGTGATAATGATGATGATGATGATGATGATGACGACGACGGCGGCGACGACGATGAGTATGATGGTGATGATGGTGATGCTTATGGTGATGATCTGTGATTGCGATGATGATGATGATGATGCTGATACTGATGCTGATGATGATGGTGGAAGTGGCGTTGATGATGACTATGCTGATGAGTCTGATGGTGATGGTGGTGACGATGCTGATGATGCGGATGAGGATAAGGATGATGAGCATACGGATGCTGATGAGGACGAGGATGAGGAAGAGGACGAGGTTGATTATGGTGATGCTGGTGATGATGATGGTGCTTACAATGATGATAATGATGATGATGATGATGATGATGATGATGATGAGGATGATGATGATGATGATGATGCTAGTGATGATACTGATGATGCTATTGATGATGATGCTGATGATGCTGATGCTGCTGATGCTGCTGATGATGATTATGATGATGGATGGTGATGATGATGATGATGATGATGCTGTTGATGATGATGATGATGATACTGATGATGATGACGATGATGATTATGCTGCTGCTGCTGCTGATGATGATGATGATGATGGTGAGGATGATGATGATGATGATGATGATGATGATGATGATGATGATGATGATGATGATGATGATGATGATGATGATGAGGATGAGGATGAGGATGAGGATGAGGATGATGATGATGCTGATGATGCTGATGATGCTGATGATGCTGATGATCATGACGACAACGGCAACGACAACGACAACGAAGATCACGACGAGCAGATTGAGTAGGAGGGGGAGGGGCAGGGGGGAGTAGGAGGAGGAGGAGGAGGACCGTGATGAGGGGGACGAGGAGGAGGGAGGAGGAGGGAAAATCAGCAGGATGAGAAGGAGAAGGAGGACTGCGAGGAGCAGCGATTCCGATGGAGGAAGACAAGGGCGGATAGGACGAAGACCGGGACGAGGACGAGTAGGAGGAGGAGCAGGAGGAGGAGGACGAGGAGCGCCAGCGGGAGCGCGCGGCAAACCACGGCCCCCTCCCCCCGCCAGGTGCAGGTGCTGCTGCACGCCGCCGGCCTCGTCGGCCCCGCGGGCGCGAGCGTCACGGCGGCGCGGGAGCCCGCCGAAATTCATGGGCAGGGTTGTCGGGGGCGGTGTCCAGGCCGCCTGCAAGGGGTCCGAGTGCGTACTTCGATGGAATCGAGGGATCGCGCCGCATCGCTCGAGGTGGAGCCCGATCCTCTCCACGCCGACGTCGCCGATGCATTGGCGTCGCGGCACGATCTTCCGACCCCGTCTGATAACTCGGACCCCACGGGCTCAGCGAGGGGGGGCGACGTTTCGAGGCTCGAGGTCTGCGGACGTGTTCGTCAGCTCTCGGCGGCTTTCCAGCCTTCGCAGATGCCTCTCGGCAGGTACGCCTCGCCGACAGGCGTTCTGGGGGCCCAGATCGTCCCGAACGGCTGCGGCAGAGCCGAGGTAGGACCCGAAAACCAAGGCGCAACGTTAGGTGGATATGCAATAGGCTCGGAGGGGATGCATCGACCCCCGATCGTCCATGCCTCGCCGATGGGCCCCGTAGCCGCCCTGCGTGAGAACGTGCGGATGTTTCTACCAGGGGGCCTCTCGCCACCCTACACGCTGGTCGTTGAAAGTAGGTTTTTTGGGGCTCCCAGAACCCCCTCCTACTTCAACAATCGATGTCTTTTGGCTGTTGTTTGTTATTGTCTAGGCGCGCCCGAACCCAATCTACTTTATCCGCCTTCCTACTTCATGCTTCTACCTACTTCTCCGACTGGCGTGTATCGTTGCACCTCACGGCCGAGATGAGTGGTGTCAGTCTGTGTGGCCATGTGGAACAGCCGGGGGCGTCTAACAGAAGGAGGAGGAGGAGAAGGCGGAGGAGGAGGAAGAGGAGGAGTTGGAGGAGGAGGAGGAGGAGGAGGAGGAGAGAGGAGGGGGAGGGGGAGGGGGAGGGGAGGGGGAGGGGGAGGGGGAGGGGGAGGGGGGGGGAGGGGGAGGGGGAGGGGGAGGGGGAGGAGGAGGAGGAGGAGGAGGGGGAGGAGGAGGAGGAGGAGGAGGAGGAGGAGGAGGAAGAAGAAGAAGAGGGAGGAGGAGGAGGAGGAGGAGGAGGAAGTGGAGGAGGAGGCACGAGGAGGGCGAGGAGGAGGAGGTCGGCCTCCTGGAGGATGTGTTCGTCGGCTCGTGGAGGTCTGCCCGCCTCGGGGGGGAGTACTTTCCAGCGGGCGGCGCGCCCCGTTGTCGAGGGCTCTCTCGGGGGGGCACGGTGCCCGAGTCGTCCCGCGGGCGGCCCCCGCAGGCCCTTCCTCGGGCCGGGCGAAAGGGGGGGATTTGGAAAGGGGGGGTTACGAAATCTGCTGCATGCAGCTGGTTTCGGCCCCGCCGCCGGGCCCATTCCTCGATACATGGGCGCCTCCGGCGCCGGGAGGCGCCGGGAAAATCAGCTACGCGAGCGGATTCTCAAACCCCCCTCTGCTATCCCCCCCTTTCGCCCGGCCCGGCTTCCTCAGGGCCCGGAGGGCGGCAGGCGCGAGGAGGGAGAGGAGGGCGAGGGTTGTGGAGCAGTGGCGAGGCGTCCTGGCTCGGCTATAGCCCTACCAAACAATGTTCTAAGAACTTGTTGTGGCTTCCACGGAATGTTCTTAGAACATTTCTGGTTGATTTTGTCTTGTTTTAGCACATCGGGGTTATGTTCTAAGTGCATTGGTTTTGTTCTTCGAGCATTTTTGGGTTCTAAGAACACTTCGTGGTAGGACGATAGGAATGCCGGGACGGTCGGTCCCTGCTCGAGACTGGGGTCGAGCAATGGCGAAGCGTCCTTGCGCTTCCTATAGGCCCACCAAATAATGTTCTACAGTGAGAGCCCGTGCCAAGAAACGCCCTGCCTGCCTCCAGGGTGTCCCGGGTTTCTTGGCTTTTCTTTGTTTTTATGGTTTTGCTGTGGAAAGCGTGATTTCCCAGACCAAACATCGATGGATGTCTTGGGGTCTCAGGGCTGGGGTTCTTGTGGAGGGTTTCTTGTGGACTGATCTCCACTGTAGGCCCACCAAAGACTGTTCTATGAATATGTTTGTGGTTTGCGCGAAATGCTAGCATAACATTCTTGGCTTAGACAGTCTTGTGTTAAGCCGTCGGCATTATGGTCTAAGAGCATGGTGTGTCTGCTGGGCTTGTTTTACCTCCAGCGCTCGCGAGAAGGATTACATGTTCTGATCGCGGCTCGCACTTTTCCACTCGCTCCTTCCTGCCTGCGTTCCTCGCGTACTCAATTCGCCTCTGGAGTGTCGCTCCCGTCGCCCGACCGGCGTCAGACCTTTTCTGGACCCGCGGAATGACACAGCTTGGTGCTTCTTTTTGGAACAGTCGAAGGCCCATGGGACTGCAGGGGTGGTCGGTCCCCGTTCCATCGGCCGCGCATATTGTCGGGGCGCTAAACAAGGAACCCTTTTCGTTGGGGAGGGTCTCCACAAAACGTTTTCATTAATATAATGTTTTGATCTAACACCATCAACTCATCAAAACAGCAATGTTTTATAATATTTTGCACTGTGTTCCTTACGTGTTTCACAGTTTGCCGCACGTTTCCCTTATGTTTTCGATCGGAGATCGAAGTTTGACTTGTGGAAGAAAGGGGCCTCGTTCCTTAGTTAGGGCTCCTTAGGTCAACGCCCCGAGTGTGTGTGCCTCGGGCCACGGTGCGCCAAGCTTCAGGAGCGAAAGAAGGACGTACACGTACATGAATCCACGCCGGTTTCGAGAGTACGCATTGCCCGAATGTTCGTATCACGCGGCCAGTCTCGCGGATCGAGGGGCCGCATTCATGTACATAGCTTGGCGCGTACGTCCTTTGTGGGCTCCCTGAAGCTCCCTCCTCCCGCGGCCCCCCCCCGCGTCGCCGCTCCCGGGGGGTGTCTCTGCGCCGGACGGCCGCGGCCCCGGTCGCACAGTTGGGGTGGGCGGGGCCGCCCGCCTGGGGTGGCCAGCGAGGGCGGGTTGGAGGAGGAGGAGGAGGAGGAGGAGGAGGAGGAGGAGGAGGAGGAGGAGGAGGAGGAGGAGGGGGAGGGGGAGGAGGAGGAGGAGGGGGAGGGGGAGGAGGAGGAGGAGGAGGAGGAGGAGGAGGAGGAGGAGGAGGAGGAGGGCCGCCCCGAGGGGAGTTCGACCTTGCCCTCGCGTCTTGGTTTTGTCTGCGCACCCTTGCCGCTGCTGGCCCTGGCGCCCTCGGCTCGCGTCTTGTCCTGCGCTCCCTGTGGTCGGGTCGAGGCTCGAGGGCGAGGTCGCCCTTTCTGGGCCTCGAGGGGGGCCTCACGTCGCCGCCGCTGGGTTCCCTTCGACATGCTGCTCCGGACGCGCCCACAGACTGGTCTGGAGGCCGACGCGTAGGGCCGCCGTCAAGAAGGCAAGGGGCCCTGTAGGTCTTTCACCACCGCCCCTCACCGAGCACGTTCCGCTGCTCGCAAGGTGCCTACTCGCAAACGTGCGAGCAAACACGTGGATACCTCCATGCAGTTACTTGCGAGCGGTTACGTTGCGAGTAGCTGCAGGCGGGTAGTTACCTTGCAAACATCGAAGCCATTTCCGAGCAGTTACTATGCGAGTAGTGGAACGCGCTTGTCCACCCCCTCGTCCGCAAAAAACGGAGGTCCACTGTCGCCCGACGGGCTGGACCCGACGCACCTGTCGCTCTCTTGTGCATCTTGGCTCCCCGCACAGTCCCACGGGAGTCCGAAACCACCGGGTCGCCTGGTGGGTCAGGTCTTGTCCGTTGATGGCAGGTGTTTACAGGAAAGGCGGCAGTGGCCTCACCGTCCTGCACCAGCCACGCGAGGTGACCACAACCTTGGTCCAAGGGTTTCGCTCGTTAGGGTTTTCTCTTCTTCTTCTTCTTCTTCTTCTTCTTCTGATTATTATTAATATTTAGTAGTATCTGTCTTGCTATCCTTCTTATTGTTCTTGTTATTATACTTCGTATTCGTCTCTTTCTTCTTATTATTCTTCCTCCTCCTCCTCCCTCTCCTCCTCCTCCTCCTCCTCCTCCTCCTCCTCCTCCTCTCGCCGTCCTCCTCCTCCCTCCCCCTCCTCCTCCTCCTCCTCCTCCTCAGCATTATCTTCATCATCATCATCATCATCATCATCATCATCATCATCATCATCTGCATCATCACCGTCATCATCCTCATCTCCATAAACACCAGAAGCATCATCATCCTCATCATCAGTGTCATCGCCATACTCGTCATACTTATCATACTCGTCATCAGTGTCATCGCCATACTCGTCATCGCCATACTCATCGTCCGTATTAACATCAGCATCATCAGCATGATAAACGTTATCGACATAGTCAGCACTAGCACCATCATCATCATTATCATCAGTATCCTCATCATCATCATCAGCATCAGCATCATCATCGTCATCGTCATCGTCGTCGTCATCATCACCATTAACATCAGCAGCATCATCATCATCCTCAGTATCCTCATCATCCTTATCACCCTTACCATCCTCGTCATCAGCATCGTCATCCTCATCCTTCTCCTCATCCTCATCCTCATAACCCTCGTCATCCTTCTCATCCTCAATAGTCCTCATCGACAGCGTCGTCGTCGTCATCTCCGTCGTCGCCATCATCGTCACCGTTACGATCCGTTTCTCCATCGCCATCGTTCCAACATCCCTACCCTACCCTACCCTACCCTACCCTAATTACCATCGCAAGAGCAAACGATCTCTGATCCTGCCAAAGCTGCGCGAAGTCAAACAAATCCTTGGAGCAACAATGCCCCTAAATTACCAACTGCTTGTTCATCCGACGCGCCCTCGTGCCCCCCCCACGCGGGGGGGGGGTGCCACTTCGGCCGGGGAGCGGGGCCCCCGTCGCCGTGTGGCCGAGCCCCGATCGACGGAGAGGCCGATCCGCCAGGATGCTGGGCATCGCTCGGACGTGTGCATTTTCCCTTCGGCGGGAACCGTTCTCCTCCTCCTCCTCCTTCTCCTCCTCTTTTCCTCCTCCTCCTCCTCCTCCTCCTCCTCCTCCTCCCCCTCCTCCTTCTCCTCCTCCTCCTTCTCCTCCTCCTTCTCCTCCTCCTCGCCCTCGTCCTCCTCCTCCTCCTCCTCATCCCCCTCCTCCTGCTCCTCCTCCTCCTCCTCGGACGGGGGCCATCGAGGAACATCCTTGACCATTCGGCGAAACAACCACGCACGAAACCGAACAAAAAAAACACAGGGAATGGGCGTCCGAGCGATGGCCAGGAAGGGGGCTGGTGGCGGTTCGCGGTTCTGGAAGTCTGTAGAGATACACGTGTATCTAGCGTTGTGCGTCCACATCTCTATCTGTATGTGATCGGCGTCCCCCCAACATACTGAGTCTATGTCTGCGTCGCCCCCCCTGGGGCGATGCGCGCACCGAGAAATCTTCTAGTATATGCGTCGTGCTGGGCGCTGTCTGGCCACACTGCTCGGGAAACGATCTACTGCAAGATGGGTATACTATATGTTCGGGCCGGACGCGCGCTTCCGAGGAGGACAGACAGTACCACTATGGCTCTGTGCGTCCCACATCAGTCGGACTCTATTGTGTGTGGGTGTATACATATATGCTTGGCATCGCTCGGACGTGTGCATTTTTTCCTTCGGCGGGGGCCATCGAGGAGCATCCTTGACCATTTGGCGAAAAAACCACGCACGAAACCTAACAAAAACACAGGGAATGGACGTCCGAGCGATGGCCAGGAAGGGGGCTGGTGGTGGTTCGCGGTTCTGGAAGTCTATAGAGATACACGTGCATCTAGTGTTGTGCGTCCATATCTCTATCTGTATGTGATCGGCGTCCCCCCAACATACTGAGTCTATGTCTGCGTCGCCTCCCCTGGGGCGATGCGCGCACCGAGAAATCTTATAGTATATGCGTCGTGCCAGGCGCTGTCTGGCCACACTGCTCGGGAAACGATCTACGGTCGGCGCAAGGGTTAAGAACTTCGGTGGTTCGGGGAGGGTACCCTTATGTTCTTCGTTTTTGTTCCATGTTCTTGTGCACCCTGGGGGAGGGTATCCTCGATGTTCTTCAGTTTGGCGCCATTATTCCTTCGTTCTGACAAAGCTGGGGTTCGGGGCTCACGATTCGGCTACGAGCGTCCGCGGCGGGGGCGGGACCCTCCATGTTCTTCGGTCCCGAAGTCACGGTGCGGCCTTCAGCAACCGCGTGCCCCTTCATGATGGTAGTGCGATTGCAATCACCCTCGCATGTTCTTAGGGGACTGTTTGGCGTTGGTGGGCTTCGGGCTGCGGGGCTTAGGGCGTGCGGATGCAGGCTTGATTGAGGCTACGTACGCACGTAGGCCGCAGGGCTCGCGCGTCCGCGGCACGGGCAGGACCCTCCATGTTCTTCGGTTTCGATGTCAAGGTGCGGCCTCCAGCAACCGCGTGCCCCTTGATGATGGCGGCGTGAGTGCAATCACCCTCGCATGTTCTTAGGGGAGAACTTGGCGCTGGTGGGCTTCAGGTTTCGGAGAGTAGGGTGCGCGGCTGCAGGCATGAGGCTAGGGCGGGCGGGCGAAGCCACGCGCAGCTTCCTGGGCTGCGGCAGGGCTGAGAGGTTGGATGTGCGGATGACGTTCAGGACGTAGCGCTGATGTCGGTCCTATGCTAAGGCCCATGGGGTAGGCCGCAGGGCTCGCGCATCCGCGGCGCGGGCAGGACCCTCCATGCTCTTCGGTCTCGATGTCAAGGTGCGGCCATCCGCAACCGCGTCCCCCTGGATGATGGTGGCGCGAAAGGAATCGCCCTCGCATGTTCCTAGGAGAGAGTTTGGCGGTTGTTGGGCATCAGGTTGCAGGGCATACGTGCGGCTGCTAACTTGGTGCTAGGTCCGGCGGGCGAGGCCACGCGCAGCTTCCTGGGCTGCGGCAGGGCTGAGAGGTTGAATGCGCGGATGACGTCCAGAACGTAGCGCTGAATTCGGTCCTATCTTAGGGCGCATAGGGTAGCCCGTGGGGCTCGCGCGCCCGCGGCGCGGGCAGGACCCTCCATGTTCTTCGGTTTCGATGTCAAGGTGCGGCCTCCAGCAACCGCGTGCCCCTTGATCATGGCGGCGCTCGAGGAATTGCCCTCGCATGCGATGAGGGGGCTGTTTGGCGTTGGTGGGTTTCAGGCTGTGGGGCCGAGAACCTCTGAGAGCCTCTGAGAGCTTCTGAGAGCCTACGAGAGCCTACGAAAGCTTCTGAGAGCCTCCGAGAGCCCTTGAAAGCTTCTGAAAGCCTCCGAGAGCTTCCGAGAGCATCCGAGAGCTGGTGAAAGCCTCCGAGAGCCTCCGAGAGCCTTTGAGAGCCTCTGAAAGCCTCCGAGAGCCTCTGAGAGCTTTTGAGAGCATTTGAGAGCCTTTGAAAGCTTCCGAGGGTCTCCGAGAGGTTTTGAGAGCCTCCGAGAGCCTCCGAGTGCTTCCGACAGTCTCCGAGAGCCTCCGAGAGCTTTTGAAAGCCTCCGAGGGCTTCCGAAAGCTTCCGAAAGCTTCCGGAAGCCTCTGAGAGCCCCCGAGAGCCCCCGAGAGCTTCCGAGAGCCTCTGAGAGCCTCCGAGAGCTTCTGGGAGCATCCGAGAGCTTCTGAAAGCCTCTCAGAGCTTCTGAGAGCCTCCGAGAGCCACCGACAGCCTCCGAGAGCCCTTGAAAGCTTCTGAGAGCTTCTGAGCGCACCCGAAAGTCTCTGAGAGCCTCCGAGAGCCCCTGAGAGCCTCCGAGAGCCCCTGAGAGCCTCCGAAAGAGCTTCTGAAAGCATCTGAAAGCCTTTGAGAGCTTCCGAGAGTCTCCGAGAGCTATTGAGAGCCTCTGAGAGCCTCTGAGAGCTTCTGGGAGCGCCTGAGATTTTCCGAGAGCCTCTGGGAGCTGCTGAGAGCTTCTAAGAGCTTTTCAGAACTCTTGAGGCTTCTCCGAGTGCCGCTGAGAGCCTCTGAGAGCTTCTGACACGCCTCCGAGAGCTTCTGAGAGCCTCTGAGGCGTTTCCGAAAGCCTCTGAGAGCTTCTGAGAGCCTCTGAAAGCCTCTGAGAGCTTCCGAACGCCTCCGAGAGCTTCCGAGAGACTCTGAGAGCCTCTGAGAGCCACTGAGAGCCACTACGTAAGAGCTTATGAGAGCCTCCGAGTGCCTCCGAGAGCTTCCGAGAGCCTCTGAAAGCT